TTATATATATATTATTTATAGTAGTATATTATATATAAATAATATATATAAATATTTTAAATTACTATTAATATAAAATATAATAATAAATATTATTAATATTTTATTTTACTATTTGTAACTGGTATCAAATGGTATATTATATATAATATATTATTTATATAATAAACCTAACAAATTAATTATATATTACATATATTACAAATATGAACTAACATTATTTTTGTTTTATAATTACAGAAATCCGAGAAGTCCGAATTCGACCATAGGAAGGCATTCCTGGCTTCGAACATCCCTCAGACGAACACCCCCATGGTAATATTAAAAAAATTTAACTTCACACACATACACACACACACACAAAAATAAAAATAAAAATAAAAATATTTAACATACGACAAAAACGAGCGTGTGTATTAATTATTTTTTTCGCGCGTGCGAGAAAACAATTCCGTCAATAGAAAACGATGATGAAACAATGAGAGAGAGACGTGTGAAAATATGTCGTGAGAAAAGGATCGTATGTGTAAATATTTCTATCTCTATTTTTTTTCTTTTGTTATTATCTATCTGTTAAACGAAAGATAAGAAGAAGAAGAAAAAAAAAAAGCAAGAAAAAAGAAAAAATGTGTCCAAGTTTTTTTCCTAGAAAAGTACAATGGTTTCCGTTTAAAAAATTCTTTTACAGTGTGTGTATCACATCATATATATATATATAAAAACGTTTCTCAATAGGTCAACACTAGATTTGGAATATAATGTACGTCCAAATTTAATTATATACTTTATATATATATATGTGTATGCACTTGAATTGTGAAAAATAATGGCAGAAATAAATAAAAACTTGGCATATATTCAACACACTCGATAAATTAATTCTAAGGTCGACCTAAGTACAATTATTCTTACATTAGTTTATTGAAGCTACTGTTAATTACAATATCAGACTGTAATTATTGATAAATATCAATCGTTGTTTAAGAATCTTTTTTATGAATATTAATTAATGATTATTTATTTATTCTTTTTTCTTATTTTTTACAGTTCCGGGAGGAAACGGATCAGTTCAAATGCATTAGCAAGGTAAACATCATATTTTTTAAATACTAAATAATATTTTTATTAATTTTGTAATATTAAAAACAAATAGAAGAATTTACGTTGCAAATAATTATGTAATATTATAAAATATATATATATATATATATTATAATTAAATTATATAATATTAAATATAAATAATATTAAAAATTAAATTATTATTAAATACTTAATATTATATATAGTATTATTGTTTATTTTAATATTAAATATTTAAATAATATTTTTATATATATTTTATATATATTTATATTATTTATTATATTAATATATATATATATATTAAAAATAATATTTTAAAATGTTGTATATATAATTAAAATTTATATACAAATATATTTTATAATTTGACAATTAATTTAACAATTTTACCATAAATATATTATTATAACAATTGACAATTGTATAATTAAAATTTATCTATACAAAATTAATATTATAAAATATATTTGAAAAGAAATAAAAGTATAAAAAATAATAACAAATTCAATCGTACGTTTTAAAAGATTTTACACAGATTGACGTCATGGTATGATAATAGTCTATGGCGTCATACAAAATGAGAAAAAGAAATTGGTATATCAATGATCTCTTCTTAAATATCTCGAACAAAACCCAACTCCATTTCGTGACGCTTCGAGAAGTTTGATCCTTTCACAGAACTTCAATCTTACTGAAAACTTTCTAATACGTAGGCGTCATATATACATATATATATACATATATATAATTCAATTTAAATACATACATATATATTTACTTTTCAAAAGTTTACAGTCTAAACTTAACTATCATCTGTTAAAACAATTTGTATTTTAAAGTTTAATTAACTTTTTTATTTATCAAACAAATCATACGACACTTTTTGTATTTTTACTTAGACTCAAGACTTTTCAAACTACCCTAGTTATACTATACTGTCAATTTATATTTAATAATATATTATTTTGTATTTTACAGTCAGCTTTATCGCAGCGGTAGCTTCAATAGTTCAGGAAGAGGCTCAAACTGTGACAATACTGACGATATGTACAGCGATGTATCTCTTGAAGAAGACTTTATAGATCTCAATCATAGGGTAAGTGTTGTTATATACCTTATATATACATATACATACTTATACGTTATGTATTAAACAAAACAAAAATGCTATAAGAACATTTGTTACAATAGCATTTTGAAAATTAGCATTACGAAGGAAAAACAATTTCAATTTTGCAATGTAAGTTTAAATAATGATAGTTTATGTTACATAAATATGCTAACTATTGCAAGTATATATATATATATATATACAGTACATATTTTACAATAATATACAGTATAATTACCTAATTAATTTTACAGTAATACAGTATAATTACATTATATATATATATATTAGGTTTATTGTAAAATTCTGTCCGTTCAAACAAACATTAGTTCAATTTTTCGTCACTAGGGGTAAGGTCCCATTTTCTAAAATGCAATATTGGGATCTCTCTAACACTTGAATACGCTATCTGGTGGCTAAATTCAAAATTAGAGTAAATAGGTCGAATTGTTACGCCATGCTCCTGCCAGAAATCCAAAATATAAATTGCCACTATGTTGGCAAGAGTTCAAAAGTAATTTAATTAATTAATTGTTCAAATTATGAATAATTTATTATTTTATTTTATTTTATTTTATTGTAAAAATGGACAGAATTTTTAGGACGACCTAATTATTACATACTGAAATAAAACAGAATACTGAGGACAAAAATAATTGAATTATAGAAAAAGAAAATTCGTCAACTCAATCTAAATTCTTTTAATATCAATTAAGTAACTCATGTACGAAAATATCTTCCAATAGAATTCATGAGTCCACTTTATTTAATATTTCATTGAATCAATCAATGATTTAATATATTGACTTGATATTAGATTCGAACAAAGACTGTTGTGCACGTAGGAAGGAATTATTATTAAGTTGGTCAATGAGTAATATGTCGAAATTTTTATTATTTTATATTTTCAATAAATAAATATATTTTATATGTTATATTTTTTATTATCTTTGTTTGATATTTGATTTATTTAAACATTGATTTGATTTATTTAAACATTGATTTAATATTTGATTTATTTAAACATTGATTTAATATTTGATTTATTTAAACAGTGATTTGATTTATTTAAACATTGATTTGATATTTGATTTATTTAAAAACATTGTTTTCGTTGAATACTCATATATTTATATTGAAAATATTTAGTACTTTTTGTTATTAAAAAATTCCAAAATTAGTTATTGGCCAGCTTGATATTTGAACATTTAGAATATCAAAATTCAATCGAATGAAACTTCACACATCTTGACTAACCTTCTAAATTTGTGCAATTAATTTATTTTACATTAAAAATTTAATATAAATATTTCCTTCGAAAGAAAGAAAGAAAGAAAGAAATAAAAAAAAAATAGAAAATAATTTCTATAATATACACATACAATATAAAATCTATAAATAAAAGTAATATATATATATATAAATATATTGATAACGTTAAAGACAGGAATCAAAACATAAAAAGATAGAAAATTATTTCTTTATAATAAACAATATATAAAGTATCAATGTGGTGTATATATGTGTGGGAATAAAACCGGTATATATATACATAAAAAGAAATCAGGAAAAAGGAGAGAAGAAGAAGAAGAAGAAGAGGAGGAGGAAAAAAAAACCAATTTATGAATCATTCAACTAGTAGCTGATGTGTAACACAAAACAATCATCTTACAAATCCTCGTCTCGTCCATCTCATTCTCCACGTCAAACCGAACGGATTAAATTACCACCACCACCACCACCACCACCACCACCATCATCATCGCATCATTCTCATCCTCCTTACAGTTATTACACACCTTATCACCGTTATATTCCATACGAACCATACGGAATTCACCATCATCCGATACCACCGAGTAGCTGTCCATCTTCCTGTTACAACAACAACCATGAAAATCTTAATGATATTGTTATTGAAAGCAAAGGAAAGTCATGGTTATTGATCATTCTTATTATAGTGATTCTTATTGCATTAGGATTTGCACTTTGTCGTATTATTTCTAAAACAAGTCAAAGATTTCGAACAATTAGACAAACCAATCCTGTTACTTCGATACAGGTAAAATCGTTTGTTGTTGTTGTTTAACCTGTTAACTGGGGGAGGGGGGAATTCCCTTTTTAATTATGTAGCTTTTTTATATATATATTTATTTATTATTTTATTATGTATTATTATTTATAGTATTGCTATTATATTTATTATATATTATGTTATTTATTATTTATTTTTTTATATATTTATTTATTATTTTATTATGTATTATTATTTATAGTATTACTATTATATTTATGTAGAGTATTAATATTATATTTATATATAATATTACTATTATATATATATTTATATTTATTATATATTATATGATTTATTATTATTTATTTTTTATATATTTATTTATTATTTTATTATATATTATTATTTATGCTTAAAATAATTGAAAAGACTATAAAATATATACATTTTCATTTATTTATATATATAAAGTACAAAGAGAGAGGTACCTTGTACCATTATCTTTAAAACAATACTCTTGACGTATTGATACGTCCCACCCGGTTAACAGGTCAACAAAAAATATACAGCACTTTTTAATTTTTTTTTTTTGGTCTAAATTTACAATTAAAAGATTTCAATTTGTTAAATTCAAATAGACAGTGAGGAGGAAGAAAGACGCCATACAAAATTGTCCAGCCGAATTTGTACGATGTATTGGTATGATATCGGAACTTAGAAAAGAGTGCAGTATGCCGTGTGAACAATGTAAGAAATTTCCGGTTATGATGAGTTCTACAAAAATTCTTGAAACTATGAAACAGAACAACAAGTCAAATGAAATGGATGAAGATGATAAAACATTTAATACGGGAATAATTAATATTCCACGTTCAAAAATTAGTATAGCTACTGACGTGTCAAGTCTCAATGCAATAAATGCCAATCATAAAATATAAATTTTGCAAAATGAAATAAATAAAATTAGAAAATAATTACCACGTTATTTAACAACATTATTGATCATTTAATGAATTAAAAAAAAATTCAATATTTATTATTGGTTGTATGAAAAATAAAAATACTTAAATATACAGGGTGTGTACTGTAACTGATGGAACAACAAACGAACAGGGGATGATTATACGTGAAAAAAAAAAACTCAATCAAAAATGTTAAATAAAGTTCCAAAACATTACAACACACCCATGTATATAATATCGTCATAGATAAATCGTATGTCAATTGTTTGATTAAATTAAAATTAGTCATTTGTTCGTGAAAAAAAAAATAAATAATAATATTAATTAAAAATTTTCTTGATATATTTAGAAATATATTGATCAATTTGATATTAAAATTTCATCAAAATTCATTCGTAAGAATATGATGTAAATAATAATAATAATAATAATAATCGGTAATTGAGGACAATTGTTTATCGATCCATTGTGTTAAATCCGAGATAAGCGGTTTTGCATTAAACGAAACTAGAACGAGGAATGGCCTGCGCTAAAACGTCATGCACTGGTATAGTTGGTTGGGTTGGATGGTCCTTCGTGAGTTTTGTGGTGATTGCAGTAGTGATAACTTATGTCGGATATAAAACTTACAAAGAGTGGAGTAGTAATACACAGGGATGAAAAAGGATTATATACAATTGACACAATCAAATTTTGCCAGTGATTTATACAAAGAAACATCTCTAATCATTTTAATGATTAATTTCAACGAAAACAAAAGGTACACAGATTGATATTGTACTTACAATTAATAATAACAACATAAATATATATAATATTAACACTAGATATATCAGAGGAAGTCATTTTGACTGATCGGCGGGCCATTTTAATTCAAAATTTCTAATTCATGTAACATTTGATTTCTGTAAATAATTTTAAAATGTCTTCTATAAATCCATTTATTTATTAAAATTATTATTGTTCAACATTTTTTTCTTATTTTTTTTAAGAATAAATAAAGACTGAAAGTCTTACAAAGCATTTTCTTTTATACACCAGTCATCTTGACTAGTGTAGTAGAATAATGAAAATGGTGGTATATCTAGTGTTAATTGATATAATTTGTTAAATAATTAATCAAACAAGTATTGATAATTAATCCCAAAAAAAAGAAAAAACAATTATCGTTATTATATTAATTATTTTTTTATCGAAATACAAAAGAATATACTTCTCGTATCTGGTTATAATAATACTAATAACGATAACAACAATAATAACATCAATCGATAATCTACGTTTATATATGCTCGAACCAATATGGCGGCCATAGTACTATTCCTCGTCTTTTTCGCACCAACGTAATTTCGCACGTGCATCATATTGTGAATACGCATAAAAATCGGCAGGAAATCTAACGAAGAAGAGGGAAGACGTGTTCCTATCTATTTTCGCATAAGGCAAGTCAGAATGTGTGACCTCGAAACACTTATATAGAGACCCACGTTAACTTCCTAATCCGCCCATCCCTTGTCCCAAGAATTCACCCACGTATAAAAGATATAATCATAGGTAAAGTTACATATATGTATACACGTTTCATGGAATACACGTAACATATATACATACATATGTGTTAAACGTAAAGAGAGTCAAAGAAAGAGAATTCGAAAGAGATGGATGCACACAGTGAATACGAAAGCTACTACAGCACACACAACACACACAAAAAAAAAGAAAAAAAGAAAAATGCAAATGCAAATCTAAAAAGGATAGCACGTACGTAAGAAGAAAAGGAGTATGTGAGAAATTTCTCTTCTCTTTCTTTTTCTTTTTTTTATTCGAGTAGGATGTATTTTACCTACTCGCGCGCATCGAATTTGTAAGGGGTGGGCGTTAAACTATGCAATGTAACATATAGGTACATACATGTATACATACATACATACACGTGTATATTTATATAGAACTTTTATATACATGATACTTTATATATATATGGTATATATACACGTGTATATTGTATATAGAGTTGTATATACCTTAAAAACACGTATTATTAGACTTAAATGCACGGCTCACATGGTTACATATATATACACATACATATACGCATCCCCTGGAAGTTATCCGAGATGAGGTAGTGTGTGTGTGGAAAGCAACAGAGAACACAAATAGAATCGTTCGCTATCGTTCGGTTACTCCCGGCCAACGATCGGGAGTCGAAAACGCGCGACACGAGGAAGTCGAATGTATTTGAAGTGCGCAGCGGTTTAAGACGTGAAGTGTGCGTTGCGTTTCTTTTTATTTTTTTTCCTTTTTCTTTTTTTTTTTTTTATTCTTTACTTTTATTCGATCATTTTATTTCATTATTATTTCATTATTATTAAATCAAAGTATATCATCAAAGTGAAAGAAAATCAAAAAAAGTTGTAACCGCTACGTTTGTTTTATAGTTTAAGAGGTTATGTTCGTGATCGTGTGAGTGAGACAGAGATAGACGATGGTTTATTATCATCATCGTCAATTTATGGCGCGTGTTATGCGCCTTGTATTTGTCATCGTCCTCGTCGTCGTCCTAGACGTCGTCGTCGTCGTCGTCGTCAGCAGTCAGAAAACGGTGGACGATAATAGATCATTGAGGACAAAGATTATGTCAATGACGTGACTCGATTCTTTTTTTTTTTTTTTTTTAAGAGAAACAAATATATTGAAAGAGAGACAGAGATAGATAGATAGATAGATAGATAGATTTTTAAATAGAATAATATAGAAATAGAAATGGAATCTCGACGATTGAACAACAACAACGACGAAGACGACGACGACGATGATCTAGAATCGATTGATCGAGATTATCGATGTGTTGCTACCACTTTCGGGGAGGGTCCACCCTCCGGACCAGGTGCTGGTTTAGAATACGACCTTTGGGAGGGACAATTTCAGTTTGTCGGCCAGGTGCCCCGTGTTGCTAGGACGCCCACTAGACGACGCGTTCCTTCACTTACAGGACAAGTATGATTTTTAATCATAGCGATCACGTCATCCCCCTTATTATTATCAACTTTTTCTTTCTTTTCTTCATAATATTTTTATTGTTTTTCTTTATATAGATCATTTTTTTTTTTTTTAATTTTTCTAAGATTTACAGTTAAATTCTACAAATATTGTATTTCATAACCTTATTTTCTTTGGAAACTGACGTACATTTTGGTATATTGCCAAATACAGTAGTTTGATGATTGAATCATTTATATTTGCAGTGTTTTGTTTTTTTTTTTGGTTGAATTATTTATAAAAGAAACCTTTTTAACGATTGGTTTTATTTTCTTATTGGTATTCCCAAGCTTTAGATAATCGGATAGTTGCTTTAACTCGGCTTCTGATATATTTGGTTTTTGGTTAAATTACAAGGTTATTATATATATATATATATATATGTTATAGATATCTATATTTAGATAAGATTATGTTATATATATATTTATAAATCATCGATAGAACGAGAAGGATGTTTAATCCATGTTGTTGTTATAACCTTCATCTTTGAGTCAAGGTTATGTCATATATAAGATATTATTCGTGTTTGTATATATTTTGAATATGGCGCCAAAATGATTTTATTATTGTTAAGTAATTTTAGAATGTACACGTTCGTAGAATTTAGTTGTAAAAATGCCAATTCGCAGGAAATGCGTCTTTCGTCTTTTTTTCTTTTCTTTTTCCTTTCTTTTTTAATTGTCATTGATAAGAATAGTAAGTGAAAGACCTACGGATATCCACATTTGGTATTCTAACCACATGAGTCTTCTTAACTAACGAGAATGCATAAGTGCAACGCCTTTAAGTGGAATGTTGTTCTTTGCGTTTGGAATATTTTATTTAGAATACCAATTTCCGTTTGCATAACACTTACGTTTTAATTATATGAGAAATTAGACAAAAATAATACTATTATTATTATTATTATTTTATTTATTTTGTTTTCAAATAAACTTTTATTATGTTCCATTTAAAAAATAAGTATAAATATTATAAATACATAATACCATAAATTATAAATAATAATAATACCATTATTATATTATTATTATTATTATTTTATTTATTTTAAAAAAATATAATATATACTTTTATTATATATGTTCCATTTGAAAAATGAAATATAAGTATTATTAACAATATTATTTTGTATTACAGGTCCAAATGATTCAAGAGCAAATGCACGCATTAGCCGATACCCAATCGGTCGGCGAAGAAAGATATGCAAGAGTTAAACAAGAAAATGGAAACTTACAAGCTAGAATATTGATTTTAGAAGAAGCTGCGAAAGATGCTGAAACTAGAGCAGAAGAACGATTGCAGGTTTGATGATTTCTATTATTTCAATCTGTAAGATCTATTCCATCATATATTTCTAAATCAAACAAATAAAACTGTTTTGTTTTGTTTTATTTTATTTTATTTTAGGCGGAACAAAGAAGGCATAGAGAATTGGTCAGTCGTTTGGAAAGAGAAAGACAATTACAGTTAGAAAATTGTGCTATTAAATTACAAGCAATTGATTTAGAAAGTTCTAATTTAAGGGATGAAATAGGAAGATTAAGAGAACAACTTGAAAGAGTTAAGAACGACAAAGCTAGGCTTGAGATAGAACTTAAGGATTCTCAAAGTGAAATAAATACTGCCAGAGAAAATGAAAGGCAAGCAGTTGCTAGAGCCAATGAAGCTCATCATATGCTTCAAGTGGCTAAAGAAGAACTTATTATTAGAGCCGATAATCAACAGAGACTCGAAGAACTTGAACAACAGGTGGTTCATCTTCAAGCACGTAACAAAAGTATGTTGCATTTTTTTTTCTTTTTTTTTTATTAATATTTAACACACATTTGTAGATATATTAAATTAATATATATATATATAATTTATCAATAGGTTTGGAAGAAGCACGAGACGAGTTGCAAGCAGCTGCTGCTGTACAAGCAGGTCGAGAACTTTTAATGTTAAATCCTTGTAGTAATGGAACCGAGAAAGGACCTAGTCTAGCAGCCGAATTATTGGCTGGTATGAGTCAGGATCAGGTACATATATCATTATTTAATTTGTTATCTATCTTGTTAATTATATTAAACTAGGGGTGCCCCGCCACACGTTGCTGTGGCTCACAATCGGTCCCCGATACACACGTCAATAAAATAATATTGCGATTATAAATTGAGATATAAACTATCCTATCTTTCAAGTTGGATGAAACTGCACACAGTGTGTAAAATTTGATTAAAATTGATTCAGTAGTTTAGGAGTCCATTGCTGACAAACAACGTGACACGTAATTTATATATATATTAAGATAATGATCTACAAATTTTGTTCTTATTGTAGATGGATGGTCATCCTATTGACGAATATGAATCGCCATATAGTATTTCGGAAGTATGCATAAATTTTTCTATTCTTTTATTTTACAATACATTTATTTATTTATTTATTTATTAATAAAATTATTTGTATGTTTTAGCTGAAACAGGCTTTAAAAGAACAACAGGAAGTGAACGCTCAATTAAGAGCATATATCGATGGGATTTTATTAAATATCGTTGAAAATTATCCGCAATTGCTTGAAGTCAAACAAGCGCACTAAACTGTGGATCATCATTTTGTTTTGATGGAATGATTAGAAAATTTTGAAATAATCTTTCAAAATTGAGAAGGCATATTGTACATTAAATTTCTTTATTGAAATCAACTATTTATACATTTATATATATATATATAAATTATTCTATTGATAGTTGTATACATGTATACGTCTCAAGTTTTTCGAGTTAAAATGGTAGTAAATTGTTCTGCGAATTTATTCGTAAAACATTTTGCTCAAATTTGGCATAGAATAAAACCTGTGATATCGCGTACATGTGTATTATTCTCATATTAAAATTAATTCGGGAAATATAATTTCCGTCCAGATAAATTTAAATGAAACTCCAGAAATCTCCAGATATGATGAAAGCGTGAAATTGAAAATTTTTTTTTTTTTAAATTTATCTTCGTTCGTTAATCTTATTATCTATTTTTTATTATATAATGGTAAGAAAGAGAAAAAGAGCACGGTTAAATAAGTCATAAGTGTGGTATTATTATTGTTAATTATTTGAAACAATGAATCTGTATATTTATATTAAGAAAGTACACAAAAGGCCTTCGTATATATATATTAATATTACTATTACTATTATTATTATTATTATAATATCAAATGGATGAAAATTTTATGATATTGAATTATCGTCAAAGAAAAAGATGTAATTATTTATTATTGCACCTTTTTTTTCTTAATATCTTTTCTTGGCAAGAACAACAATTATATTTAATAGTCGTGTAATATTTAATGATAATTCAATATGTGATAATGTACAGATGAACCAATTAATCAATAATTAACTAAAAAGTGTATATTGTCACAACTCTAAGGATAATATGATGATACCATCCTTTTAACGATAAAATGTTATTCATCATTTTATCTACGAAAGAAATTCAACTACTATTCTCGCCTTGTTGTAATTGATTCGAAGTTAATTTTTAAAATAAAAAATATCATATACACGCGAGTTACCTACATAGACTTGACAAAAGTGAGGTGATGTATGACTGCGTTATGTGTCACGGCGCATCTGTGATACAACAAATAGTACCTATTTAAAATTAATATTTAGTATTTTCACCTATAGAATATTTTAGGTCTTTATACTGAAAAAAAAAAAAAAAACAAAAACAAAAGAAAGCTATTAAAGTTGCGAATAAATCGTTATATTTTGATGTCTCTAGTTATTGTCATTAACGCCATTAATAACATAATCCTATATACAAAATTAATTATATTATATATTAATTACATACGTGTTCTTTAACACAATAATTACCATTATACATTTTTCATAATTTTACTGACTTTTAAAAAACTATATATATCTTTTTAATAATTTAATAAATGATTTTATTTCAATGTCATCACATCAACATATTTATAAAAAAAAATTATTATTTATTTTATTGTAAGATTTTTATTATGAATATCATTTTAATATCATTTATTTATTACATCTTATTTGAGTTGGATTGGGGTTGAGCTTCTGATGGTCGAGCTGAAATATTTTCAAAAATAGAATTAATGAGATTTAAATTAAAAGTGTAATTATTATATTATGATAAATTAAAATTTAAATAATCTTACTTGGACAAACACGAGGTTGAAATTTAATGTCATCAATAGCAAAGCCACCATTACTAGCACTGCCCTTAAGAATAAGACGATATGGTGAACGTCCATCAATTGTTACTTGAGCTGCCATCCATACAGGTCTTGGATTATTAAATCCTTTTGCTGTTAATGACCATAACTAAAGAAAAATAATTTCACAATGTTAAATTAATATAAATCATTTATTATATATGTGAGTATAGAAATGTTAAGACCAAAGTAAACACGAAAAAAGAAATTATAATACAAATTAACTAAAGTAAATATAAAATCATTACATACCAATATTTCATCGTTACCATTTTCACCATTATTACCACCACCACCACCACCATTTGCATCTTCAACATCAGTCGTTCTAATAATTTCTAACATCGTAGACTCTTCAACGCCAAAAGCAGCAAACCAAAATGTGAAACAAGTGGATTCTTCGTCAGCAGGTGTGTTGATAATTGGAGAACGTAATTGTACCTCAGTGGATTTTTTATCAGGTGTATATATATCAAAAAATATGTAATCGCCAGTAGTCCCAAACGTTTTATCTAAGAGCTGAGCTGGCCGGTGAGTTAGAAATGCTCGTTGCCAAGTAACTGACCGATCATTATTTGAAAGAGTAATGTTTTCCCATCCACATATTCCTTTTTCGAAACTACAATCCTCATTTCTGACAGTAGCAGCTGGTGGTCTTACTAAAACAATTTGTTATATTTCATTTTTATATACTTTATACATAATATTTGTTTGTATCAAATTTATATAATTTTGATTACTGTTTACCAGTACAGTTTCCAATGTAAAAAGATATGTCATCGATACCAATAATACCATTTGCTCTATTCGGACCCCATACACCTTCAAAATAGATATTAAAGTTTCTCTTTTCATTAATATTTGTTTGTGCATAATTCCAGGTAGGACCTTGGTCGTTGTACAATTGCCAGATAGGTCTGGGCTCTGCTGGTGATTCATCATTAGGTTGTATGTATAAACGAAGAACACCTAAGCTTGGTCCAGTGGAATCAATAAAGGACTCGAACATGATATACCAAAATGTAATACACAATGGATTATCAGAACCACTCATTTCACGACTAACGAGTTGAGCAGTACCACCACCGAAAGATCCACTACGAGATTTACCAAGTGTTAAGAAAAATTCATTATGTCTGGTACCAGTATTTCCATTACTGTATGGTTTACGTTGATTTCTAGGACTCAATATTTGAGTTGAAACTCTTTCCCATTCAACACGATCTGGATCTCTGGTATTGATCCAATCACATTCGTCTACTTCAAAAGTACAGTCTCTTGATATTGTTGCTGCTACTTGTGGATAAACTATTATACGAAATGAATAAAAATTAATTACACTCATTTTTAGGAACAAGTTTTATTTTCATTGATATGAGATCTTACCAGGACAAGCACCATGAGTAAACGTAATGTCATCTATAGCGATATCACCCATACCAGTATTTCCTACAGATGCTTCGAAAATTAATTGATAATCATCCAAAGAACCAATAGTTATTTGAGACATGTACCAAGCGTTACCAGCGTTCCCACTCAATCCCCAAATTTCTTGTAACACAGCATCGAGATCACGAAAGTGACGTAAGTAAAGTTTTAAATTACCAATTCCTGTACCAAACATATGAAACCAAAAATGTATGCAAGTCGGAGCATCTGGATTGGTAGCTGGAAAACTGGTACTTATTAATCTTGCTGTATCACCAGGTCTACGTGGAAATCTAGAATCGATATAAGCATAACCACCAGCCGTAGCTCGATCACTGGAACTGTCCATAGCTGGACCAGTCGCTGGATTTGTGCTACCTCGACTCTGAAAACAATACAACTAAATGATTAAATCTTTAGTTTTAGATGAGAACAAATATTTGATTAAAACGTACTATTGTCCAATCAAAATCATCTTCAGCATCGTTGTTCCAATCGCAAAATCCACCTGCAAAGTTACAAAATCCAACACAGGAAGTTCCAGGTTGAAGATCGATATCATCGATCGCAACATATCCTCGATAGAGACGAGATGGATCAGTTGAATCAACAGGTACTCCTTCAATGATCAACTACAAATTAATAATAATATCATTAAATGATTCAAAAGAAATTATCAATTATAACATTTAAATAAATTTCTTTACCGAATGTACATCTGGATATGTGTAAAGTATTTGAGCTTGTTGCCATATTTCAAGGTCATAATACTGAGCATGCCAGATGACACGTTCGCTTTCCGTTTTAGCAGGTTTACAAAGTGGTACGGTAACATTTTGAAATGTAATTGCATCTTCTGGTTCCTTTCTAATGGAGTATTCATCAAAACCCATATGCAAGAGTACTCTTAGTCCTGCTACACTAAGACCATCAAATGAATATTTGAACATTATACAAGTTCCTGATACACCAGTACTTCCTAATTGAGGACTATGTAATCGAGCTCCAGAACTTTTGCCTGTTACACTTTTTGATGGTGTTTGCGATGTCTCCACAAAAGCATACCTAGATAAGTATCCACATTAATGAACATTTGAAATAATTACAAGATTGTTATATTTAACCCTTTGCACACACTTTACATAAAATGAACATTTTATTTCATTTCATAATTCAGAGTGCAAAGGATTAAATATGACTTCTTTGATAATTATAGACACAAACCCTCCTTCCATTGTACCAGTAGTAGAATCCGATGGTGGTCCACCAAACCAATTAGTTCCTAAACCAGATCCTGCCATCCAGTCTAATGAATCACTACCATTTTGCCACTCGCACAAAGACAATGATGGAAGTGGACCAAAATCACAAAAAAGTTCGTCTATCATTGCAATTGAGAGTGGTATACTAAATCTTGGATATCTGTTAATGAAAATCAATTGTTGTATTAGAAGTTGTATTTTGTCAAAAATCTATTATATTATCTTAATTGATATTATTATAGCATACCTGGTTGAATTTCGTTGCAAGGGTACACTGACGTTGACAAATTTATTCTGTATTACATTAGTAGTGGATGGAACATCATTACGATGTAAAAGAACAGTGGATCTTCCTGGCCATTGCTGAAGATCAATACGTTCAACGTCATTCGAAGGATCAAGATCACGATAAATAGGATTTAACAAATATTTAGTTTCTTTATTCAAATCCTCAGATTCCAGAGTGTCGTATGTTGGTAATTCCGTAGTGATATTCGTCGTATATGAATTTATTGATAAACTTATTACCCATGAACATTGATATAAATAATATACAAGTAGTAATACGAATAATTGCATGTTGACAATTGAAATATTATTTATTATTTATTTCTTTTTTATAACACATACGTTTTAATATTTTAATGTCAATACACTTTTTAATAATTCATAATTAATTGAGTATGAAAACAAATTGATCGTTGTTTATTCTCATGGCAGAAAAAGAAGTTGGAATTTTATTTTATTTTTTTTTTTTTTTTTCAGACCAAAATATCTATAGTTATTACAGAAGCTAATTTCTTTTTTGGGGGAGGTGACAAGGTGTGAACTGAATATACAACACTACTATTGAAGAACTCACTCCCTAATGCGAGTGGAGTCAAATGAAATTAACTCTCCAGAGTTCCGGNTTAATGTCAATACACTTTTTAATAATTCATAATTAATTGAGTATGAAAACAAATTGATCGTTGTTTATTCTCATGGCAGAAAAAGAAGTTGGAATATTTATTTTATTTTTTTTTTTTTTTTTGTATCAAAATGAAAACACTAATTCGTGACCGAAGACGAGTAGTAGTTCTAGTTGACAAGGTGTGAACTGAATATACAACACTACTATTGAAGAACTCACTCCCTAATGCGAGTGGAGTCAAATGAAATTAACTCTCCAGAGTTCCGGCCTTTACTTCCTGTTGTTATGTTACTCTTCTTTCTACCTTTAATAATACTATGTCCGAACTTAACAGTCATTCGGCGAACAATAAAATGCTTTTCATGTTCTACCGACATTTCACAATCGTACAAAAATAAACCATCTGTGACACCATAACTGTAAAACGTATTTTTTTTACAAACGTACATATAATAAATGAAGATTTATGTTTTAGATTAAAATGTGCATATAATTCTGATATTGCATTGTTCGCGTTGAATAATTAAAAAAAAAAAAAAAAAAAAAAACATATACAAAATATTATTAATAAATAATAATAATTTATTTTCATTAATAATTTATCAAATAGTACAAATTTTCTTTATTTGATTTGTTTTTGTTGTTTTTTTGGTTTCTATAGAAATAAAGTTACATAATAATAATAAAAAAAATAATAGTTAATATTGATAAAAAAAAATTAGGAACGATTATTTGATATGAATATGTCAACGTTGAGTTTTGAAAAAATATTGAAATATTTGCGGATCGAAGAAATTTTCTTTACCCTTTATCCCTAAGTTACATTGAAGAATTCTGCCAAGATTTAAATAAGCTCGTGCAATGAATGGAACTAAGTATGGACAAAGTATTAATTGATCGGTTCTTGGACGATAAATTGATTGTTTTCTTAACATTTTCGATATCAATCGTATTGTCGAGATTGAAATATTTTTATCAACTGGTTTCGGTTTTTTATCATACACCATTCTTGTAAACTCAGTTAGATCCTAAAATTGATAAATTGATCATTCAAAGTTATATCATTGTTACTTCGAAATATGAATTAATTAAGTAATTAATTGTTAATAATTACAGATGCAGGAAATGGAAGTTTCTTAGTCACCATTTCATAAAGAATAACACCCATACTCCATATGTCTGATTTTAAATCGTATGGTTGATTTGAAAGCATTTCTGGAGCCATGTAGTAATAAGATCCAGCACAACACATGGACTCACTAAAATATTAAAAGAAATAATAATAATAATAATAGTAATAATAATAATAATAATAATAATAATCCTTCAAGTACTATATCACATTATCGTGAAATTCATAATATATTAAGATATACTTTAATATAATATAATATAACTTTAATATACTTTAGTATAATATAATATAACTTTATTTATTTAATATAATATATATATAATATAATTATAATATATACTTTATAAAGTGTACTCATATGTACATCAAAGTATATAGGACTGTATGAGAATTACAAATTTCTTTATTTTACTTATAGACAAGTTGAAATTTGCTCATAGGTCTATTACAAAAGTACACAAGAATGTTAATAATATTGCATTAAATTAATAAATCAATTAATATTGCATTAAATTATCTAATATCTTTAAAAATGATAAATCCTTACTCTAATATATTTTTAGAAACACCAAAATCAGTAATTTTAACAATCTCTCCTTTACGACCAGTCAATAAAATATTTTCAGGTTTTAAATCTCTATGAAGAATTTTCTTGCTATGTATGTGATGAACTCCAAGTGTAATTTGCGAGAACAAGTACAAAGCATTCTAGGAAAATATTAAAATACTCGTTAGTTTTATAATAACTGTGATAATTTTTATATTATTTTATTATTAAAAAAAAAAAAAACATTTGTGCATATCACACGAGAGTTAGAAGTGAAATCTTCAAATAAACAAGTTTCGGAAATAATTTATTAAAATAATATTGTTATAATATTATTTGTACTTTTAATTTGTAATTATTTAATTAATTATCAATTTAATTATAAAAAATGTACGCCTGTTCGTATGCAACCCTCCAGACACAGTTTGAAAATGTTGCTTGCGAGCGACATCTACTGGGACGGAATTTTTTTCAACACAAAACTGTTCATACACGTATGTATGACGGGTTGCCTATCTTTCGGGCAGGAAAAAAATTCCGTCCCGACAGATGGCTCTCGCGAGCAACATTTTCAAAGTGTGTCTGGAGGGTTGCATTCATACAGGCGCACATTTTTTTAAATAATAATTACAAATAAAGTAAATAATAAAATACTTTGAAAAAATCTTTGCAAATCAAATATTTTGATAAATAATGATATGTTTGTCTCTTTAACTCTTTTTACGTAGTATTAAGACCATTTCTTTTTCCCCCATTACATCACCGCGTTTCATTTTTTCAAATCACATCCATTGTAAAGAAATTTTCACTTGAAAAAAAAAAAAAAAAATGTAATTACCTCTTCTCTAAGCGGTACACTAAGTTTTTCTAATAATTCTTTCAAAGTACCACGAGTAGCATATTCCATAAGAATGTAACTTTTATTATTTTCAACCCATGCTGCATGATAAGCAACAATATTTGGATGTCTCATCTTTTGAAAATATTCTACTTCTCTCAGGACCATCTGAAACATAGGCGTAATGTCATTTTATGAATTGAAATAAATTATGTCAGAGAGTAATTGAAATATATTTGTAAACTTACTTTAAAAGATAAATTAGTTTTGACACTTAAATTTTGTTCCTTTATAACAAACGGTTTTAAATCCTTTGTTCGTCTAACTAGATGAACAGTTCTATCAACAAACACACACACATATATATATGTATATATATCATATTCTAAGAAATAATTAATTAATAAAAATGAATATTTTTCTTACCCAAACATTCCTTTACCCAATACAGCTTCAAACTTATACTCTTTGATACAATGATTCATTTCTATAAAGGTATTAGTTTTCTTAATTATTAATAATTGATATATTTAGGAATGATATATAAAATTAAATGAAATAAACGACATATAAATTTGTAAAATTGTATTCATAACTCAAGTGATAATAATTGTTTACAGAAAAATGTGATTATTTACACTAAAAGTACACTCTTATATACACTAAAATACATTAATGACAATACATAATGATAAAAGCAGAGGACACTTATTATTTACTATATATATATATATATATATTTATATTTATGTATTTATATATTTTATAATTCCTAATTACAATTAATATAAAATAATATATATTAATATTATAATATATTAATTGTTAATTTAATATATTAATTATATAATTATTATATTAATATATAATATTATAATAATAATAATATAATATATATAATTATATATATAAATAATTAATATAATAATAATATTAATATATNAATATAATATATATAATTATATATATAAATAATTAATATAATAATAATATTAATATATATATATATATATATATATATATATATATGTCAAAACACAATTATTATTGTTTCGTATAATCTATATCATCACTACTTATATTCTAAAATATTATTATATATATATATATATGTAAAACTTCAAATGTGTTCGATAAATTACAATAGGAAAAATCGTATAAGACGTATATATTTATTAGGTAATAGGTTTTTTATTTACTTTTTTTTTTCTTACAAATAATACGATCATGATTTTTTTTTTTTTTTCTGAAGCATTTTGACCTATTATATTATTATAACAAAAGAACGGTTCACGATTATCAAAGAATATTTTTTTATCATTATTGTTATTATTATTATTTTTTTTTTTCTATTTATGAGAAATCTGATTTCTTTATAAGATGACAAAAAAAAAGAAGAAGAAGAAGAAGAAGATAATAGTGACAGCGATAAAACGTAAAAATGGATAAAGCATCCATGAAAAATGACAACTACTGTAGTAATCGACTGTTTATTAAACACTTTTGCTAATGCAATGATTTTTGATTGTTATATTTTTCTTTTTGTTTTTTTTTCTCTCTCTCTCTCTCTCTCTTTCTTCTATTTCTTGTCTCTATATTTTATTAGTTAGTTAGTTAGTTTTTTTTTATCTTATCTTATCTTTTTGCAACGAAAATGATCTCTAATGGAAATATATTTTTATGTGTAATAATATGTGTGTAATGTATGTGTGTTTTTATAGTGTGTAAATGTTACTAAGGAATAACATTTTTTTTTTCTTTTCTATTTTAATTAAGAAAAACGTATATATGTGTAACCGTTCATCGTATATGTTCTTAACTAACACAATTATTTGATAAAAGAATTGGGATAGAGGAGAACATAAAAACAAATTTCGAATTTTATAATACACTCCAACGAAATTAAAGCAAAACCACCTTATTACACCCTAGCATTTTAATGGGAGATTAGATGATACTGCAATACATATATATATGTATATATATATATATGTATATATATAAATATATATACATATACATATATTTATATATATATATATTTATATAAATGTATATTCTCTGACATATTTAAATTTTCTCATCACTATACCGAATCTCTTATACATAAATTAACTATTGTTAGATTCATGTATCATGTTAATGTTGTTTTCTGATGTACATGATTGCTTCAAACTATCCAAATATTCCTGTTGGGATGTTGCTAATACTTTGGAAAGAATATCGCTATCTTCCCAATCTGTCAAACCTGTAAAAACATGTGTCATAATTTATTATTTAATTTAATTAGATATATATGTATATATATATATATATAATATATTATTAAAATTTCAGTATTTCAATTGGAATATTAATTTTACCAAATACTTCCGGAGGAAGACGATTAAATAGCGAAATATCAGGTGATGTGTGTGCTTCCTTACTACTTCCTGGTACAGGTTCTTGTGGCATTATTTTTTCTTTAAAATCTGATGACGGAAGATGAGTAATGTTAGAACCTTGAGGTGATTGATGTTGTGGAGACCTTTTATACCATACAGTATCTGAGACCTGTAAATTTAATGAATTATTTTTAAAATACTACTAATAATATTAATATAACTAAAATAATAATTATAATTATAACTAATATTAATACTATTTGTAAAAGAACCAATCCTTATGATAAAAATTACAACCTTTGGAGAATTGCGAATAGAGTCCTGGCTAGTTTGAGTAGTAGTCGGTGATGAAGTGTGACTGCGTTGTTGTCCACGATTTCCATGGGAATGAAAATGTGCATGGCTGTGTTGTGCACTTGTAACAGTACTAGTACTGCTGCTACTTGCTGATCGCTAAATTTTAAATATGTTCAATTAATATTGTTTTGATTTTTCTTTTTCTAACATGATTAATGGAAAACTTTAAGATCATCAATAATACACTTTTGTGATTCATATGGTATTTATACTTTGTACTTACTGCTTTACGCATTTCATTATCTCGTAACCATTGCAAATAACTTTCTCTAGCCACTTGTTCTTCTATTGCTTCATTAGTTGCTTCCCAATCAGTAGCTTTTATTTTATCTTCAAGCATTGTCTGTTTCAAAACAGCATATGTGTTCTTACGACGTATAAAAAGATTTCATTATTTTTATCTTAGATTAAAAGATTCATTTAATTTACCTGTTCAATATGTAACTCTTCACTTTGTCTAACTGCATCTGATATTAATTCTCGATCAGCAGAACCAGGATTAAATGATGGTAAACCTAATCCAACACCGATAGTAGCTTTATATGGATCTACTATACTGTTATAATGACTGCCACGTTGGTATGACAATCGTATCGGTTCATTGTCACTCTTTACCATTGTATGGAAAATATTAATAGGTTCTATAAGATAACATATTAAAGTTCTAACAAATACTAATTTTAACAATACTTAGTATAATTATAATATAATAACAAATGATGAGTTATACCAGTGCTATAACAATACAGTTGTATACTACGATTATACATTTCAGACATAGCTTGCATTTCTATATGATTTCCATGCACATATTCCTGCCTTTTTCTATCCACATATGTAGTAAAATCTTCAGCTACAAAGTGAGAGAAAAATTCTTGATTGGAAGCCTAAAACGTAATATCAATTCTTTGTTAATTTACAATAGAATAAATGCACTCAATTCTATAATTAATTTGCAAATGCATATAACAATGTAATCACACAAAACATTAATTAATAATACTTACAATATAATCCATGCAATGTTTTCGTACAACACCATGCATCTCTTGGTCGCCATATACTTGATCAGCAACAGCTCTAAATAAACATGCTCCATCTTCTCCCATCTTTTTCACGATAAATCCCATTTTTCGCATACGTTTCTCAAACCATTTATCACGCTTGAAATTGAACAAACAAACAAAATATTTCATTGTACGATGCATTTATGTATATTGCGTTTATTGTAATCCCTACCTCTTGCCATTCTGCTAATGTTAGATTATTTCCAGTTCGTCCAGTATATTCATCTCCACTATTATAACCATTAGCAAGTTCATCTAAATTTGATGGGCTACCAACAATACTCATTCGGTTGTTGGTTATAACAGCTCCATCTGAACCTATATTGAATTGTATACAATTTATATTAATAAATATTGTTATTCCAAGTCCCAGATAAAGGGTAGAGTTTAAGGGCGAAGTTTTAGCAACCTACTCTCAGTAAAACAAAAATAATTGTTAAGTTAGGGATAGTAGGATAAAATCCTAAGAAGAAAATCTAATCTCAAGTACCTTGTAAACCACTACACGAAGCTGCAGGTGGTGTTGCTTGCCGTTCCCTGTCCCTTTCCCTTTCTCTTTCTCGACCCCTATCCCTTTCGCGTTCTCTCTTGGAACGTGAACTTCTTCCAATGCAGCTACTACAAAATGAAGTTTAATTTTATAAACAATATATAATTGAATAAACTGCAATTAATTTAAATATAGTTTGATATTAATTACCTATGAGGACTAGCTCTTTGTCGATGACGTTTGCCATGGCTCGGTCCACTTGAATCTTCAAAATGCTTCTCCTCTCGTCGATCTACTGTTGCCTAAAATAATAATAATAATAATGATGATGATTTTCTAATATTATTTTAATACTTATTATAATATTATCAATAAAAAAAAACCCCTTTTCTACTAAATCAAAAGAAAATTATTTTGATAAAGAATCACAAAATATGAATTTGTAATTCTTGTATTTACATACACACTTATTGCTTACTCAACTTTTTTGGTATTAAATGTAACTGAGGATAATACAATAGATTGAATGTAGCAATTTGTCATCAATAAACTTTCCACTTCTCCTCACCTCATATGAGCCATTACTAAGAACGATAGGGCCAGAACCATGATCACCCTGTACGGCATGAAGATCAACAGCAAATCCATTAGTTCCACGCACCTGTTAATTAATAGAAGAAGAAAAAATAAATAAATAAAAGAAATCATAGGGCACACAGTTACTTTTTATATTCAATATAAAAAAAGAAATATTTTCAAAACAATATAAACGTTATCATCTTTAATACCTGATATGGTGTGTTTGGTAAAGCAATTGAGGCAGGATTATGTTCATTTTGTACACCATGAACATCGACTTCGGAATTATTACTTCCTTCACGTCTGTCTTTTGATGCATTCGTTTTCTTCTTCGATAAAATAGTCATTTTGAACGATGAACTTTTACTTTCTTACGAATTTTTGATAATTTTTGTTCAAGTAACGCTTATATATACGACGCATTCAACACAGACAAACTATTGCACATTACACATACTAATTGCCGAAGGTCGTAGAATTTGTTGCTTCGCAATCGTGACGATCACCCTTCCATTTAAAATTTCTCGATGAAATCTATTAATCACTTATTGAGTTCTTGGAAATTTTTATAACTGTTCAAATTTTAGTATTATGCTTCTAGGATATGTCAAAAAAACAACATTACTATATTGAAAAACTAAAACATGATACATTTGTTCATCTCACTTGCGACCTTCAATTCGATTCAATTCCTGTTTTCTCCACTGTTTTGTCTAGCAGCCATTTTTCTCCAAGTACATGCACTGACTATAATAGTGAACTTAGCAAAAATTAACAGTAAGAACAATGAACAACCAATAAGAATTAAGATATAATTACTAATTCTTTATTATTTTTCCCCTCTATAACTTAATTTTAATATAAAACATTTATAATTGTCAACTTAATCAATTTATAATCTACTTAAAAATAGTTTATGTCTTCTGTGTGTACTTCGTCCGAATTATTTATTTTATCTCTTTAATATACATGTCCATATATACATATATATATATATATACATTTAAGTCACAGTTTACAACGATCGCGGAATAGACCAATCAAATGATAAATGATCATGTAGGATATGGCGAATACACTTTGCTATTTTATCAAAACTTATAATTTTCACTACATAAGATTTTAGTTAATATTTTTGGTAATGAACTGAGACACGTGGTTTGATAACAAGAGATCTTTAAATTTGCATACTACTGCAGATGTTTGTCCAACGCGTCTTTTCCTATTGGTGTAACAGTCAACCAATGAGATATTGGTAATAAGCTCTGATTGATCGTTGCGTCATCTAACGCTCTCTGGACGCCCTCTATCAACTAGCATATGGAATGACTGCTACAAAGAACCACTGATAGAAACGCTTATAATTAATAAGTAGATTGTTTAGTTAAAAATAAAAGTTATTAGCTTGAAATAATTTATCAGCAAAGATATCTGTAATATTTTATATTATTTTTATCAATCTTTATATTGTATGCATTCAAGGCATTGGCATTCAGTAGGCCAATCAAATAGTAGCCGCCATGACATATGTTACTGCAATATTTATTTTATTATAATTGTATTCTAAAAGTCGCTGTACATATGATAATATGCTTTATATATATCAGAATACTTTGTACATAATTTTTTCAATTCAAAAAAAAAAAGAAATGCTATTCTTATATTCAATGACATAATTCAATTTCATATTAAACCGCTAATTATGCGCACAACAGCTTGCGCAGAAAATCCTGCGCAGAACAGCTTGCGCATAACATCTTGCGCATAATAGCTTGCGCATAAAGGATAAACTAACGTTTTTTTATCTCATTTCATCGTTGACTTTTTCACTTACGAGAACTGGCAATATAATTTTGTTACATATATGCATTTTATTAACATCCTAAACCAGATATTGAAAAACTTATAATTCAACTACTCCAATCTTCATTTAGTGAATTTTCTATGAAAATCTTGTGCAGGATTACATAAAAATATTCAGGTATAAGATACAGTCTTTTGTTTTATATGAATTATTAAAAAATGAATAAAATTCTTGAAAATAAATAATAACTAATTGTTTAACAAATTTAAGATTTTAACTTTTGATATATATATCTTATGTAAATGAATGAATAAAGAAGAATACCCTTAATTAAGTGAATGAGAAGAGAGAGGGAGAGAGAGAGAGGTTTTTGAATTTTTATGTTAAAATTGATTGAATATAAAATAACCTTATTTTGTTCTTATAAACTTTTCTAATCTCATTCATTTACAATTACATTTTGTATTAATTTGAGGTAAAATTTAATTATATTATATATAGGAATTATTGTTCAGTATGATGGGACCCAGAAAATCGATACCATTTCCAATATAACATGGATAATACGATACTTTGATAATACTATCAAATATCCTATCGATTAAGGTTAATCTTTTCATTAAATTCTATAATAATATGATTATATACGCTAAATGCTTTCTCGAATATAAATTGATTATATCAATTTAATTCATAAATAAACTGATTAAATATAAAACAATTAAAATTCGATGATTAAATTCGCAGGAGACCTATGGACAATAATGTAGATCTTTAGATAAAGAAAATAAAAATGATAAAGATGATTTTAAAGAATGGGATCGAGGTCAAAAATGTTCATACTCTTTATTGAATCCTATCACGTAGAATGACGTAACACGAATATATTATCAAGTTAATTGCGTAGGTATCTCTTAATTTGGTATATCTCGCTAAATTATAGTAGACGGCCATAGTAGACGATCAGTAAGAAGAATATGAGGTGATTACTCTAGTATCTAAAGGAACACTGGTGTCTCTAACAAATTATACATATATATATATAGCTATACACATATTATATATATATATATACGTTTACGTATATCTGCTAACTACAGGAAATTCAAGGGGAACACAGTCAAAGATGGACGGATCATCGGATAGATCGCTTTCAAAAACGTTCTCTCAAATATCCTGATTTACTACTAGTAGTAAGTTTGCGTTTTAAACAACTAAGAGTGATAGTAAGAAAAAATATAAAGAAGAAAAGAAGAAGAAAAAAAGAAGAAGAAGAAGGGTGAGAAAGTGTATGAAGTTCTTTTTTGTTTTCCTTTTACTTCTTCTCTCTATATGCAACTTCTAGAGAAAACGAGAAGAGTCTATTTTCTTTTTCTTTATATTGATGGTTGCTTAAAAATTACGAAAGAGAAAGAGAGAGAGAGAGAGAGAGAGAGAGCGAGAGATATTCACCTTCGTTCCAACCACCTACGCTTCGTCGCCCCGACTATCCCTGATGGTTCGTTCGACTCCCTTCCCTTACCAACCCTCGCTACCCCAGTGTTATTGCTGAATGGTCCAAGAGTGGGGGTATCCCTTTCTCACCACCCACACAATCAATAGTAAGGCCTACAGCTTCTCTGAATGGACTTGGCCGTTCCCGTTCCCATTCCCGTTCCCATTCCCATTCTCGTTCCCGTTCCCGTTCCCGTTCCCACAGCGCCATGTCTACCCCGTCCCCCTATATTGATTACTACGCCTGCTGCTGATCTTTGCACGACTACGACGGCGGGGAAGTTGCTCTATCGACCTATTCAGCCGCATTACACTTCATTCATGAACACTTTGCTTTTCGCACACAATTATCATTGACACATCATATATACACATATAAAATTAGTTTTCCCTCAATCTACTTCCCCTTTCCTACCCCACCCCTCTTTTCAACCCCCCCTCTCTCTCTCATTCTATTTCACTTACTTACTTACTCATTCTCTCTGTCCCTTTCTCTCTTGAAAATTTTCATTCATGCTTCATTTTCATTCTACCCACGCTTTTGTACGTGAAATACCTCTTGTTTCATATTTCTTGTTCAATTTACCATATAATTTTGAATGATATTTTGTTGTATACTTGTTGTTGTTGTTGTTGTTGTTTATTCTTTTCTTCTAGTTCTTTTTATTATTATTTTATTTGTAAATCTTTATGATGAAAAATATAGACAATTTTCAATACGATAAGAATTCCCTTTGAAGGATCATCAATAAGAACAATGAGGGGGTGTAGTAGAAATCTTATCTATATAAGTAAATGAATCGTATATCTGATAGAAATAGATCAATGTTACGATAATGTTAGAACGAAGCGTTTGTTATTTCGATGACCTCGCTGTGTCTCGAATCAATTGATTTGAAAATTGTACTCACTGCTGAGAGGAAGATCTCATCTTATATATATGTATATGCGAAGGCAAACGTTTTTGGTGGAAAAGCCCGTATTCACGTGCGTCTTTGAGCGTGGGTGGTCGTTGAAATTATTTGCATACGTGAGATATATCGAAAAGAAGAGAAGAGGGTCTTGTTGGAACTAGAATTTATTAGTTCTAGGTAAAGGTCATTTATTTCTCTTTTTTTCTTTCATTTTTCATTATTTTTTTGTTGTTGTTGTTATTTTTGTTGTTTGTTCTTCTAAATCCTTAAATGTCAATAGATGGAAAAATGTTTCAAATTAAAATATTCATTTGAAATACAATTCTTTTAAATTCTCTCACGTTTAAACCACACGATTATATTTTATATATATATATATATATATATATATAAAATATATAGGGTGTATACGTGCTGCAACTAGCAAACGTTTTTCTTGTAAATTATAAATATTAAAATAAATGATACAGGGGGAAAGAAATAGTACAGTTAGCTACACATTTTAGCTACAATTTTATTTTTTCAGATTTTAACGTTATAATATATATATATATATATATATTATATATTATTACTTACTATTATTTTTATATATTATTATTATTATATATATATTATATACGTTTTTATATATACGAACGTTATTTTATTAGAAATAAAAGTAAACTTTAATTTTTTAAATGTAATGTTCTATATTTTGTTGATACCATATAAAAGCGTGGGTCAAAATGAATTCTTTTGTATACTGCACAGTGATCTGCAAGGTCGTGCAAAATCAGAAATAGAAAAAACATTGAAAATAATTTTATATGAATTTATTTTGTAAATATTTGTTGTCTTTATAAAAATCACATGATATTTTTATTTATCATCATTTCTTTATTACTTTGATAAGACAATTTTTATTATTACTCGTAAAATCAGATTATTAGTTATATCATATAGTAATATACTTAGAAGAAAAGTGTTGCTTGGTAATTAACGTTTACACCCTGTATATTGCTTCGAGATAAAAATAATGAAAAATATATTTCAAAAGAATGAGGGAAAAAAAGTACCGTAATTAATTTCTCTTTTTCTCTTTTTTTTTTCTCGGTTAGATAAAAGAAAAAAAAAGTACTTTTTCAAATTCCATTTGCCATGAGGGAGGATGCAATTGCAGTATTAACAAGCCCGCATATAAATTTATTTATACATTAAATCAGTTCCGTTTCTATTCTTTTACTTCCTTTTTTTTCTTTTTTTTTTTTGTATCTTTTAATATCCTCGTTCTCTCTTTTTCTTTTTTCTCATCGTCGGTGATATTCATCCATTGACAGTTTTATTCAATTATAATTTATCGATATGATCGTAAAACGTCAATTCGTTACCGAAGAAAATTAAATTTTAAAGTCAAAACTTCTTTAGTATCAGGGTGATTTGTAAATTGTGAAACGGAAGAAACGTGAAACCAAAGAACGTGAAATCGATGAAACAAAAATAATTAATTAATAAAATTCAATATATATAAAAATTCAGTGTCACAATATGTTTGTCCACTAATAATTTCAAAATTATTCAACTTATTTTAACGAAATTTATTTTATTTCACGTGATTTTTTCCAACTTAGCACATAGCACAATTCTTTTTTGTTTTTTAATTATTTTTTATTACTAATTTAAAGATTTTTATTTAGAGTTAGATTATATCTAGATTCTGTAAGATTCTTTCAATAGATGGCACTGTATTACAATTCAATTATTTCGAATTTCAATTATTTCTTTGAAGGTTTCACTTCTACCGTGTGTAATCTGCACACATCTGTTTTTTTGTCTTTTTTTGTTCTTCTTCATTTAAACATGGATATATATTTCCAATTCTGCTTTTTTTTTTTTTTTCTTTCAATCATTTTTTCTCATTTATTTCTAATATCAAAAATTTCATTGGATTTCATTTCAGATTTTTCTTCATTAATTTTGATATCTTTAGCGTTGAAATTTTCTAATAATACTTCGTGCGAATGAAATGGGGTAAAAAAGGAACTTTACCCTTTCAATCATATT